CTTTACCAATGGAAAGAAGAGGTCAAATTTAGTGGAAAAGCATCTTCGTGATTTTTCTTTTCGAGGTTTTAGGGCCTGTAAAAAATTAAAGATGATTTTTGTATTTTTTGCCCTTTAAAATTTTTTATCATCTGACATTACCTCACAAAATCGCCTATAACTGAAACAATATTTTATAAATTTTAATGCATATTTATATCTTCTGAATCAGAATTAAATGCCCGTTAAGATAAAATAAGATTGAATCATTTATTTCAAATAGTTCTCGAGATATTGTGCCTCAAAGTTGAAACTTCGTCTAAAATTCTGGAAAAGCTTTAAAGCCGATTATCTCGAAAACGAAGTCCTAGGGCTCGGTGCCCCAAATAACCTTTTTTGAAGCCCCAACCGAGATCTATACTTAGACAAAATTTTGTACCAATAGCTTTTCTGGTTTCCAAAATATAGCCCTTTGAAATATTTGAAAATGAAATTTCCTTGCATACCCCTTTAAAAAATTTCAATTTTGATTTTTCTAGAATTTCTAATTTTTGACTTTACCAATGGAAAGAGGGGAGTGGTTCCGAAACCGTTCATGACGTGTTTGAACAGACCTGTATGTTCAGTGGACACAAGATAACGAAAGCAAAACATATTAATAACCAAAATAATAATAATTATAACACTATTAAGATTTCTAATAACACATAGTGTCCAGACGGCACCCAATATTGCTGGTATATTCTTAAAATCTGCCAATTTTCTCAGGCATATTGCAACGTTCCACAAATATTCCCAACAAATTTGTAATATTCTGTATTAATTTGGCATATTCCATGTATGTATAGTGTATAGTTATAGGATATGCCGTGAATATCATGTTTGCATGTTCCTTGAATATGCGAAAGGAATATTTTTTTAAAAAGTTTTATACAAACGTCCGGAAAGTAATATATGGTTACTTTCAGGTCGTCACGCTTTTGCATATTTGTGGACGATATGGTCGAGACGTCAATTTTGAGAGAGGTTATTCTGTGAATATCTAATTAATATGCATGAAATATTCATCAGATATTGCATATTCTAATCTCCAATTATCATATGTGGCATATTGCAGGGATATGTTTTATGGTGACTTACGCATATGCTTGGGAGATCCCTGTCACATGAACAGATCTGCATGGCATATGCAACGGATTTCATTATATTCCCATAAAATATGCCATGAATATTCCTGCAATATGTTTGTGCCGTCTAGGATGAATAATGAGAAAACTGAAACTTCAGATCTTACGAAAATGATTCTACCAGCCATCTTGCAGAGTGCCAGGCTGTAGATCAAGATGTTGAAAAAAGAAAATGAATATCATCCCGATATGAGATAATTATAAAGATTAAGAAATGTCAAAACCGAGAGACATATCTTTATCTTGTCTTTCTTGAACTCTTCACTCTTTCCATCCAACTTTCAAAATTTTAATTTAAATCATGATCAAACACAATGGCCATATTTTGAAAGCTTCAAATTCCTGTGCTTTTATAGGAATTTTAGGATCAAAAGTGAATTTGAATTTAAAAAAGATTCCAAATTATAAGTTTTGGAAGTTTCTAGTTAAAATTTGATCAAGAGCCGGTAATAATCAAATTTTGAACTATTACAGGCTCTTGAGGGCCTCTGGTAAAAATTATCCAGCGCCTCCAAACAGCCAATAACAATTCAAAAGTAAAATTTGAAAAATATTTCTAACAAATCAAGAGCCAGTTGATAGAAAACACCTCATTCAATACGGAAAATGGCCATCACGAATTTCTGCGTATGCCATTTGGGCTGAAGAACGCCCCCGCCACTTTCCAACTTTCATCTTCCAAAATAGGATAATCAAGGCCGATATTCAACCGATACTGTTTCCTGACATACCAAATACACTGGCCATGATGCCAATCCTGACATCTGAAATATATTTGAAATTAGATGACCTTCACCAATTGAACAATGAAGTAATCGACATAAGCCCACAACTAATAGAATACCCAGCCTTGGGACAATCCTTATATATGTCCTCATCGTTTTCTTAAATGTGTAAAAGCCGTTATGAAAAAAAAACAAGTCCACCCCCGCTCTAAAAGAAAACTAGAGTATCCAACTCCCCCGCTAGTGTGGAAGTTGAAGCTAAGAAGGGAGGAGTTATATTACGTCTATCAGCTATACGTTTATCTATACATTTTTTTGAATGTTTCAAGTTCCTGTATAATTTCATAGGAATTTTATGATTTTCCAAGGATCAAAAGTGAATTTGAATTTAAAAAAGATACCAAATTATAAGTTTTGAAAGTTTCTAGTTAAAATTTGATCAAGCAATCGAATCAAGAGCCGGTAATAATCAAATTTTGAACTATTACCGGCTCTTGAGGGCCTCTGGTAAAAATTATCCAGCGCCTCCAAACAGCCAATAACAATTCAAATTTGGATCAAAAGTAAAATTTGGAAAATATTTCTAACAAATCAAGAGCCAGTAGATAGAGAAAACCGTATACAATACGGGAAAATGGCCATTACGAATTTCTGCGTATGCCATTTGGGCTGAAGAACGCCCCCGCCACTTTCCAACTTTCATCTTCCAAAATAGAATAATCAAGACCGATATTCAACCGATACTGTTTCCTGACATACCAAATACACTGGCCATGATGCCAATCCTGACATCTGAAATATATTTGAAATTAGATGACCTTCACCAATTGAACAATGAAGTAATCGACATAAGCCCACAACTAATAGAATACCCAGCCTTGGGACAATCCTTATATATGTCCTCATCGTTTTCTTAAATGTGTAAAAGCCGTTATGAAAAAAAAACAAGTCCACCCCCGCTCTAAAAGAAAACTAGAGTATCCAACTCCCCCGCTAGTGTGGAAGTTGAAGCTAAGAAGGGAGGAGTTATATTACGTCTATCAGCTATACGTTTATCTATACATTTTTTTGAATGTTTCAAGTTCCTGTATAATTTCATAGGAATTTTATGATTTTCCAAGGATCAAAAGTGAATTTGAATTTAAAAAAGATACCAAATTATAAGTTTTGAAAGTTTCTAGTTAAAATTTGATCAAGCAATCGAATCAAGAGCCGGTAATAATCAAATTTTGAACTATTACCGGCTCTTGAGGGCCTCTGGTAAAAATTATCCAGCGCCTCCAAACAGCCAATAACAATTCAAATTTGGATCAAAAGTAAAATTTGGAAAATATTTCTAACAAATCAAGAGCCAGTAGATAGAGAAAACCGTATACAATACGGGAAAATGGCCATTACGAATTTCTGCGTATGCCATTTGGGCTGAAGAACGCCCCCGCCACTTTCCAACTTTCATCTTCCAAAATAGAATAATCAAGACCGATATTCAACCGATACTGTTTCCTGACATACCAAATACACTGGCCATGATGCCAATCCTGACATCTGAAATATATTTGAAATTAGATGACCTTCACCAATGGAACAATGAAGTAATCGACATAAGCCCACAACTAATAGAATACCCAGCCTTGGGACAATCCTTATATATGTCCTCATCGTTTTCTTAAATGTGTAAAAGCCGTTATGAAAAAAAAAAGAAGTCCACCCCCGCTCTAAAAGAAAACTAGAGTATCCAACTCCCCCGCTAGTGTGGAAGTTGAAGCTAAGAAGGGAGGAGTTATATTACGTCTATCAGCTATACGTTTATCTATAAATTTTTTTGAATGTTTCAAGTTCCTGTATAATTTCATAGGAATTTTATGATTTTTCAAGGATCAAAAGTGAATTTGAATTTAAAAAAGATACCAAATTATAAATTTTGAAAGTTTCTAGTTAAAATTTGATCAAGCAATCGAATCAAGAGCCGGTAATAATCAAATTTTGAACTATTACCGGCTCTTGAGGGCCTCTGGTAAAAATTATCCAGCGCCTCCAAACAGCCAATAACAATTCAAATTTGGATCAAAAGTAAAATTTGGAAAATATTTCCAACAAATCAAGAGCCAGTAGATAGAGAACACCGCATTCAATACGGAAAATCGCCATTACGAATTTCTGCGTATGCCATTTGGGCTGAAGAACGCCCCCGCCACTTTCCAACTTTGATCTTCCAAAATATTTATCAATGAAAATAGGATAATCAAGACCGATATTGTTTCCTGACATTCCAAATACACTCGCCATGATGTCAACCCTGACATCTGAAATATTTGAAATTAGATGACCTTCACTAATTGAACAAAGAAGTAATGGACATACGTACATACATATACATACATAAAATAGGATAATTTCTCAAAAACTATAAAAGCCACAAATATGAAATTTTCTGGTATCCTTTATGAGGTATTAGAGCAGGATATACCAAAAATTCAAAGCAATTGAACAAAGGGCACAAAAGTTACAAAGTGATTTATACAAATACATATTCAAGAGCCGATAATAATCAAAACTTGCATTTCATATCCAAAATTTATCATCAAGAATTGAACGTTGAAAGAAAAAATATTTTCAGGCTTTGAATTTCTTGTTTTCATTTGAATTTCTTTAAATCAACAGACTTTGACATCAATTTTCATAGCTCAACTTTTGGTCTATACTTCGTGCTGCAATTTCCGTTTTCTATATTAGATTTCATCAAATAAAAACATCAAGGAAAGCAAAGAGATTGTCATTCTTTAACAATACATGGCTTAAAATTTCCACAAATATCGTAAAATAACTGCGGGGCAAAGAACCATAGAGCACCAAAAAAAAAAAAAAAAAGAAATTCCAAATAATTAATATGAATTAAACATCGTTGGCCCACATATTACACAATTGCCAGATAATATCAGCTTTAATTAAGAGTCCTTATTATATAGCAGCAAAAATTTAATGCAATGTTATAGTAGAATACCTTGTCTATATTTATATATGGTACTCTTAAAAAATAATATCCTGATTACCTCACACGAATACCCGGTAACATTTTTTTCTTCACGCATTTTTGCTATACGGTATACCACCATGAGGCAGCTCACCTTGTATATCTTAATAGGAAAGTGATTAATTTTACCTTTACCTTTGGACATCGGATTGTCAATAATAATTTTATTAATAATCACTTATCGAAAACATGAAGTTATTGAAAATACAAAAGCGATTTTTAAACAGCAGTTGCAATGTTAAAAACGTAATTAGTGAAGCAAGTGAGTTTTGCGAACCTTACGAAAATATTCCTGGCCCGAAACCTTTGCCTTTGCTAGGGAATAGTTGGAGATTTTTACCTTTAATTGGTAAGTAATTGTTATAGTAGTGTATATAGAGTCTTTTCAAAGTCAGTTGAAACAAGGTAGAGGTAAACTTTGATATTTTCTAGGTAATTTCCAAATTCAACACATCGACAAAGTCTCGATAAATCTATACAAAAAATATGGAAAAATCGTGAAAATGCAAGGCCTTCTAGGCAGACCTGACATGATTTTCCTATTTGATCCTGATGAAATTGAAAAGGTTTTCCGGAAAGAAGACTCAATGCCTCTGAGACCTTCAATGCCCAGCCTTAACTATTACAAACATGTATTGAGAAAAGAATTTTTTGGCGAACAAGGAGGCATTATTGCAGTGTAACTTATCAATTATATCCTATTCACAATCTGTAGTCCAAAGATACAGGTAAATTTATCACCTTTCCCTATCAAATAGTATTGAAAAGTGATAAATTTCACCTATACCTCTGGACTACAGATTGTGAATAGATAATAATTATATAACTAATTAATTATTTTAGTCACGGTATTAATTGGCAAAAATTCCGATCAAAAGTGAACCAAATAATGCTCCAACCAAAATCAGCCAGACTTTATTCAAAAGTAATTTCGCAAACTGCTGAAGAATTTGTACAAAGAATCAAGCAGCTTAGGAATCAAGATTTAGAAATGCCTGATGGGTTTTTGAATGAAATTCATCGCTGGTCTTTGGAGTCTCTTGCTAGAATTGCTTTGGACATTAGAATGGGGTGTTTGGATGCAAATCCTCCTCAAGACACACAAAAGTTGATTGACTCTATTAATACTTTTTTTATTAATGTGCCTATTTTGGAGCTTAAAATACCTTTTTGGAGATTGTTTAATACACCAACTTTTGTTGAGTATATTAATGCTTTGGATTGTATTAAAGAGTAAGTATGCATGTTTTGGATGAATAATTGTGGTAATTGTAATTATTGTAGAATTTGTCTTAAATATATTAAACAATCTATGGACAATTTGGATTGGCAAGTTGAAGAAAATCAACTGTCGGTTATGCAAAAAGTGTTGAAAAGGCACAAAAATGTTAAGTTGGCCAGTATTTTGGCTTTGGATTTGTTTCTGGTTGGTGTCGATACGGTAAGTTGGTTTCAAAATAGGTAATTGTTTCTTGCACTCGAAAAGCGTGTCGACATTAAAAGTTTTCTTTTTAATTGCTGGGTTTGCGTAAAAGTATAGCAGGAAATTATTATTATGAGTTATTTTTATTATTTATAATTCTTGAATAATGGCTTCAAAATAGTAGGCACTTAACTGAAGTCACTAGTATTTATGGTTTTTTGAGAAAATTTTAACTTTCAAGCTGAATATCTCGGAAATTCCTGAAGTTACATGAACCAATTTTGCACAGGCTTATAGAGAATTTAATACTCTTTCCAATGATATATAATTGTAGTTAATTTGCTCAAATTCTATTGAAGATATGGGCAATTATTCATGAGCATGTCAAGATTTCAAAAAATTTCCAGAGACAAAAATTGAGATTTCCTTTAGGATTTTTTCTCTCATTATAATTATCAAATCTAACTGATCTAAGAATCGTTTCTGACTAATTTGAACTCACTCTATCGATTTCTGAAGTCAAAATTAAGAAAAATTCAAAAATAAAAATTTTCAATTTTTTGCACTTTTTTCTAAGGGGTACCCCTTTGGATTTTTATTTTCAAATCTTCAAAGCTCAATATCTTGGGAACCAAAAGTGGTACCAAGACAAAATTTGCAGAGTTTGTAGTTCTTGATAAGGGCTTTCAGATGGTATTCAGTTGAAATCGCTAGCGTTTATAGTTTTTGAGAAAATTGACTTTGAAGTTTTAGACAAAATTTTGACTAAAATTCAACTTTGAAGTTCGATTGTTCATGAACCCGCTGAGGTACTGGAACCAGTAAGGTACAGTTTTGAAGAGAATTTAATGCTCTTTTCAATGATATATAATTGTAGTTAATTTGCTCAAATTCTATTGAAGATATGGGCAATTATTCATGAGCATGTCAAAATTTCAAAAAATTTCCAGACAAAAATTGCGATTTCCTTTAGGATTTTTTCTCCTATTATAAATCTCAAATCTAACTGATCTAAGAATCGTTTCTGACTAATTTGAACTCGCTCTATCGATTTCTGAAGTCAAAATTAAGAAAAATTCAAAAATAAAAATTTTCAATTTTTTGCTCTTTTTTCTAAGGGGTACCCCTTTGGATTTTTATTTTCAAATCTTCAAAGCTCAATATCTTGGGAACCAAAAATGGTACCAAGACAAAATTTGCAGGGTTTATAGTTCTTGATAAGGGCTTTCAGATGGTATTCAGTTGAAATCGCTAGCGTTTATAGTTTTTGTGAAAATTGACTTTGAAGTTTTAGACAAAATTTTGACTAAAATTCAACTTTGAAGTTCGATTGTTCATGAACCCGCTGAGGTACTGGAACCAGTAAGGTACAGTTTTGAAGAGAATTTAATGCTCTTTTCAATGATATATAATTGTAGTTAATTTGCTCAAATTCTATTGAAGATATGGGCAATTATTCATGCGCATGTCAAGATTTCAAAAAATTTCCAGAGACAAAAATTGAGATTTCCTTTAGGATTTTTTCTCTCATTATAATTATCAAATCTAACTGATCTAAGAGTCGTTTGTGACTAATTTGAACTCACTCTATCGATTTCTGAAGTCAAAATTAAGAAAAATTCAAAAATAAAAATTTTCAATTTTTTCTCTTTTTTCTAATGGATTTTTATTTTCAAATCTTCAAAGCTCAATATCTTGGGAACCAAAAGTGGTACCAAGACAAAATTTGCAGGGTTTGTAGTTCTTGATAAGGGCTTTCAGATGGTATTCAGTTGAAATCGCTAGCGTTTATAGTTTTTGAGAAAATTGACTTTGAAGTTTTAGACAAAATTTTGACTAAAATTCAACTTCGAAGTTCGATTGCTCATGAACCCGTTGAGTTACTGGAACCAATATGGTACAGTTTTGAAGAGAATTTAATGCTCTTTTCAATGATATATAATTGTAGTTAATTTGCTCAAATTCTATTGAAGGTATGGGCAATAATTCATGAGCATGTCAAGATTTCAAAAAATTTCCAGAGACAAAAATTGAGATTTCCTTTAGGATTTTTTCTCTCATTATAATTATCAAACCTAACTGATCTAAGAATCGTTTCTGACTAATTTGAACTCGCTCTATCGATTTCTGAAGTCAAAATTAAGAAAAATTCAAAAATAAAAATTTTCAATTTTTTCTCTTTTTTCTAATGGATTTTTATTTTCAAATCTTCAAAGCTCAATATCTTGGAAACCAAAAGTGGTACCAAGACAAAATTTGCAGGGTTTGTAGTTCTTGATAAGGGCTTTCAGATGGTATTCAGTTCAGAAATCGCTAGCGTTTATAGTTTTTGAGAAAATTGACTTTGAAGTTTTAGACAAAATTGTGACTAAAATTCAACTTTGAAGTTCGATTGTTCATGAACCCGCTGAGGTACTGGAACCAGTAAGGTACCGTTTTGAAGAGAATTTAATGCTCTTTTCAATGATATATAATTGTAGTTAATTTGCTCAAATTCTATTGAAGATATGGGCAATTATTCATGAGCGTGTCAAGATTTCAAAAAATTTCCAGAGACAAAAATTGAGATTTCCTTTAGGATTTTTTCTCTCATTATAATTATCAAATCTAACTGATCTAAGAGTCGTTTCAGACTAATTTGAACTCGCTCTATCGATTTCTGAAGTCAAAATTAAGAAAAATTCAAAAATAAAAATTTTCAATTTTTTCTCTTTTTTCTAATGGATTTTTATTTTCAAATCTTCAAAGCTCAATATCTTGGAAACCAAAAGTGGTACCAAGACAAAATTTGCAGGGTTTGTAGTTCTTGATAAGGGCTTTCAGATGGTATTCAGTTCAGAAATCGCTAGCGTTTATAGTTTTTGAGAAAATTGACTTTGAAGTTTTAGACAAAATTGTGACTAAAATTCAACTTTGAAGTTCGATTGTTCATGAACCCGCTGAGGTACTGGAACCAGTAAGGTACCGTTTTGAAGAGAATTTAATGCTCTTTTCAATGATATATAATTGTAGTTAATTTGCTCAAATTCTATTGAAGATATGGGCAATTATTCATGAGCGTGTCAAGATTTCAAAAAATTTCCAGAGACAAAAATTGAGATTTCCTTTAGGATTTTTTCTCTCATTATAATTATCAAATCTAACTGATCTAAGAGTCGTTTCAGACTAATTTGAACTCGCTCTATCGATTTCTGAAGTCAAAATTAAGAAAAATTCAAAAATAAAAATTTTCAATTTTTTCTCTTTTTTCTAATGGATTTTTATTTTCAAATCTTCAAAGCTCAATATCTTGGAAACCAAAAGTGGTACCAAGACAAAATTTGCAGGGTTTGTAGTTCTTGATAAGGGCTTTCAGATGGTATTCAGTTCAGAAATCGCTAGCGTTTATAGTTTTTGAGAAAATTGACTTTGAAGTTTTAGACAAAATTGTGACTAAAATTCAACTTTGAAGTTCGATTGTTCATGAACCCGCTGAGGTACTGGAACCAGTAAGGTACCGTTTTGAAGAGAATTTAATGCTCTTTTCAATGATATATAATTGTAGTTAATTTGCTCAAATTCTATTGAAGATATGGGCAATTATTCATGAGCGTGTCAAGATTTCAAAAAATTTCCAGAGACAAAAATTGAGATTTCCTTTAGGATTTTTTCTCTCATTATAATTATCAAATCTAACTGATCTAAGAGTCGTTTCAGACTAATTTGAACTCGCTCTATCGATTTCTGAAGTCAAAATTAAGAAAAATTCAAAAAAAAAAATTTTCAATTTTTTCCTCTTTTTTCTAAGGGGTACCCCTTTGGATTTTTATTTTCAAATCTTCAAAGCTCAATATCTTGGGAACCAAAAGTGGTACCAAGACAAAATTTGCAGGGTTTGTAGTTCTTGATAAGGGCTTTCAGATGGTATTTAGTTGAAATCGCTAGCGTTTATAGTTTTTGAGAAAATTGACTTTGAAGTTTTAGACAAAATTTTGACTAAAATTCAACTTTGAAGTTCGATTGTTCATGAACCCGCTGAGGTACTGGAACCAGTAAGGTACCGTTTTGAAGAGAATTTAATGCTCTTTTCAATGATATATAATTGTAGTTAATTTGCTCAAATTCTATTGAAAATATGGGCAATTATTCATGAGCGTGTCAAGATTTCAAAAAATTTCCAGAGACAAAAATTGAGATTTCCTTCAGGATTTTTTCTCTCATTATAATTCCCAAATCTAACTGATCTAAGAATCGTTTCTGACTAATTTGAACTCGCTCTATCGATTTCTGAAGTCAAAATTAAGAAAAATTCAGAAATAAAAATTTTCAATTTTTTGCTCTTTTTTCTAAGGGGTACCCCTTTGGATTTTTATTTTCAAATCTTCAAAGCTCAATATCTTGGGAACCAAAAGTGGTACCAAGACAAAATTTGCAGGGTTTGTAGCTTTTGATAAGGGCTTTCAGATGGTATTTAGTTGAAATTGCTAACGTTTATAGTTTTTGAGAAAATTGAGTTTGAAATTTTGGACAAAATTTTGACTAAAGTTCAACTTTGAAGTTTGATTGTTCATGAACCCGCTGAGGTACTGGAACCAGTAAGGTACAGTTTTGAAGAGAATTTAATGCTCTTTTCAATGATATATAATTGTAGTTAATTTGCTCAAATTCTATTGAAAATATGGGCAATTATTCATGAGCATGTCAAGATTTCAAAAAATTTCCAGAGACAAAAATTGAGATTTCCTTTAGGATTTTTTCTCTCATTATAATTATCAAATCTAACTGATCTAAGAGTCGTTTCTGACTAATTCGAACTCACTCTATCGATTTCTGAAGTCAAAATTAGGAAAAATTCAAAAATAAAAATTTTCAATTTTTTGCTCTTTCTTCTAAGGGGTACCCCTTAGGATTTTTATTTTCAAATCTTCAAAGCTCAATATCTTGGGAACCAAAAGTGGTACCAAGACAAAATTTGCAGGGTTTGTAGTTCTTGATAAGGGCTTTCAGATGGTATTCAGTTGAAATCGCTAGCGTTTATA